CTTTACTCCTTCCTCAGCGACCTTCTTTGCTTACGTCACACCTCGGGCGCCGCATCTAGACCCAGTCTACTCGCTGGGCCCAACCGGTCAGTTGCGTAATGGCGAGTCTTAGGTTATGTATGGATGGAGAGAAACGAGAGGAGGGGGAGTCAGCTGTTTGGAGTTGCTTATGTAAGTAATATGACGTTCCTTTTGTATTATGAATGGGATTAATATTCATGCTGAGGTGGATATATGCAGCTGGAATGTGTGCATCTTGACGCATCTATGCTGGGTATGTCACTGTATTTGTAAGTTGCTTTCATACCTTAGAATAATAATTATCGGCATTTTGTCCTCTGAAATTGCTTTTGGTTATCACGGCTGCGACTGACAGTGAGTAAAACTGAAGTTAAAAGAGTTGTAAGAGGATAACGGGGTTACACAATTTCAACCCGTGATGGCGTGATTTTACATATTTTTATTCAAATGCCATCATTGTGATAATCATTGTGATTTTCCTTGTCTAATGATAATATTTTATCATTTTCATATAGTTATATAATTTTGGTTTATTCGAGTGCTATCTCCATTTTCAATTATTTTTATCAGTTCCACTATTTCTGGCATACCTACAAATAATCTTTTTATCTTCCCTTTCCCTTTTCTTTCTTCCACCCTCTTCCACACCCTCTATCCCTCCCTCTCTCTCTCTTTCCCTCCCTTCCTCTTCCCCTTCCTTACACAACACCCCTTCCCTCTTAATTCCTTGCAGATCTCCACCATTCTTCTCCCATTACGTTCATGACAGAAGGAAGCCCTACAACACCGGTTCTTTCTCACCCTCCCTCTCTCACAAGACAGAAGGAGGAGGAAGAGGAGGAGGAGGGGAGGAGGGGAGGGAGGAGGAGGAGGAGGAGGAGAGGAGGAGGAGGAGGAGGAGGAGGAGGAGGAGGAGGGGAGGAGGAGAGGAGGAGGAGGAGGAGGAGGAGGAGGAGGAGGAGGAGGAGGAGGAGGAGGAGGAGGAGGAGGAGGAGGAGGAGGAGGAGGAGGAAGAGGAGGAGGAGGAGGAGGAGGAGGAGGGGAGGAGGAGGAGGAGAGGAGAGGAGGAGGAGGAGGAGAAGGAGGAGGAGGGTGAGGAGGAGGAGGGAGGAGGAGGAGGAGGAGGAGGAGGGAGGAGGAGGAGGAGGAGGAGGAAAGAGGAGGAGGAGGGGAGGGTGAGGGTGAGCTACCCTACAGACAGCCCCGAGGGTCTTCGTCTGGTGGTAGAGGTCTTGTTTCGTCGGCGGGTTAAACGGCTGAACGATTTTTTTTCTTCTTCAGAAATTGGTCTTTATATCTTTCTTGTTTCTTGTGCTGGTGTATTTGGCTGTTGATTTGTTTTTGATTGTTTGTTTGTTTGTTTTTTCGCAATTTTTAAGGATATATTTTTATCTTCTTTTTTCTTTTTGTACTTTAATTCACTAAATGTTTACCTATTGTATATTTATCTTTTATTTCTGGATTATTGTTCTATATTACCCATCTTTTTACGTGCTTCCCCCTCCTCTTCCTTCTTATATATTTCCTCCATCTGTTCATTCAATATCCATTTTTCCTCCCTCAATTTTTTCACACTATCTCTACTTCATCAATTCCCTGTTTTATCCTCAGCATTTATGATCAGAAATATCGTGAAATAGCAAAACAAACCACGTCTCTACTTCATCAATTCTCTGTTTTATCCTCAGCATTTATAATCAGGAATATCGTGAAATAGCAAAACCAACCACGCACCGAATGCACCACAAAACCACGCCTTTTTAATTCTACCTCAGTCCCCCTTCACACACGAGTAGTTGTTTAATCTTTCTCGTAAACCAGTCGAATCCTAAGGTACGCGAATTTCTGTCGGGTTAACTATATTTTTTCGCTCGTCGTGATTTCTATTTTCTGCGATGTTTTTTTTTTTTTTGGATTGGATGATTTATTTGTCTTATATGAGAGGGATAGTGATGGATTGTGGTTGTGTGTGTGTGAGAGAAGAGAGAGAAGAGAGAGAGAGAGAGAGAGAGAGAGAGAGAGAGAGAGAGAGAGAGAGAGAGAGAGAGAGAGAGAGAGAGAGAGAGAGAGAGAGAGAGAGAGCGAGAGGAGGGAGGGAGATAGGGGGAAGGGAGGGAAAGAGGGAAGAGGGGAGAGAAAGAAAAGAGAAAAGAGAGAAGAGAGAAAGAGAAAGAAAGAAAGAAAAGGAAGCACAAAAGAAAAAAAGAAAATGAAGAAAATAAAACAAAAGAAAGAATTAAAAAAAACATAGATCATGTATCGGCCCAGCTATTGACGGCCGTAATACAATACAAATTCCTCTGCCACGTGACTCTAATCTCAGGTTCGCGCAATACCTGTGGCTTCAGTCAGGTGACATAAAGTTACTCACCGAGGAGACACAGACAGAGCGGCGAAAGGGTAGACATAATGTTTGTTTTTTATTATTTCCTAAGGTTTTGGTAATTGGAGAATAGTACCAGAATATTTTAAATCATTTGGTTGTATATAAGAGCTCAGGAATCATTGTTGTAAAGGACTAATTACGTAGAGAAAAAGACTTACACAATTGTTTAATAAAAAACTTATAGAAAATAAACGACGTAGTTCAGCCGAGCTTCAACCCTTCAGCCCGAGGTCATAGCTAACATTTTTACAGAAGGGCTGAATCGCATTAAAATGTTTGGTTAATTCGGGCGGTAGAATAAATCAGATGCAAATTCATATTAGATTTTGAGTTGTGACTTGATGTCTGTTTTATCTTTTATCTATTCATTGATTTCGTTCATTTTTGTTTTTTGTTTTGTTTTTGTTTATGCCAAATTCTGTTCGTACACATAAATATTATAATAAAGAGTAATGCCATTTTTATCCCATCTCTGCCATACGATTGCAGTATTCTCGACAGTGCACAGAAATAAACATTCTCTGCAACTCCGATAATATGCCTATATAGAAATTCTGATACATGTTCCATTAACCGCTACGGGCTCTCTGATTGGCTGTTAGCGTTGCCAAGCCCCTGCGACTGACCAATCACTGTTCAGCACGACATGTGTTGTTGATCTCACAAAATCAGATTCACAAAAATGCCAAATGTAGAGTTGCACGCCCATGCTGACACGGAAATGAACATCATCAGCAGAACTAAAATTGATAATAGACAGAATAGAAAATGATTTGATGGAGTCATAAAATGTTAGCAACGAAAGCGGAGTTTGGCGGGAAGAACCTGACGACCTTGACTCCGAAGTCGAATGCGTATAAGCATCTATTTTTAAACCCTGTGCAGTATGCATATATATATATATATATATATATATATATATATATATATATATATATATATATATATATATATATATATATATATATATATTATTATATATGTGTGTGTGTGTGTGTGTGTGTGTGTGTGTGTGTGTGTGTGTGTGTGTGTGTGTGTGTGTGTGTGTGTGTGTGTGTGTGTGTGTGTGTGTGTGTGTGCGTGTGCAACATGCATATATATATATATATATATATATATATATATATATATATATATATATATATATATATATATATATATATATATATATCAGAGGTTCTCAACCTTTATTGGCTATGGGCGCACTAATGACATAGCCTGGACTTCGGCGGCGCACTAACTATACAGTGAGTGTAATATATGTATAAGCTTGCTACATATTCCACTGACTCAAAGGTACACATTAGGCCTAGGACTAGCCATAATATTACTACGAGTATGTATGCACGCGAGTAATTATTACAACGGTGAAGAAATGCCGTAATGATAATAATAATAGTAATAATGATAATGATATAATAATAATGAAAATACGTATTATTATCATGATTATTATTATTATCATTATTATTATTATTATTATTATTATTATTATTATTATTATCATTATTATTATTATCATTACCAATATTATTGTTTTTCGTTGTTGTTTTTATTATCATATATATGAATGAATCAATGAGCACATGGGAATGAAATACATCCATTCCAGTTGTAGATTAAGCATACATGATTAATGGGACACGCGCCTGTCTGGGTTTGCATATCCTTTTAATGTTAAATGGGACACAGGACAGACACACTCTCATTTCCTCTTCAACACCCAGCAATCTAGATCTCTTCTGAGTTTTGATGTGAGTGCTGAGATCAAGTTCACACATATAGGTCGAGAACTGCAGCAATATTTTAGGGGGGGGGCTTTTAGGGCTAAGTGAGGGTGTTCCTTTTCAATATTAATCCAGAAGCTTTCTAGTGACATATCCAAGTAGTCCAGTTTTAGTGTGATGTTATTACGGATGATAATTAGTTCCTCTTCTTCAAGAATACTTTGTTGCTTGCTTGAGCGATCATACACGAAAGGATTTCTTACCCAACCATATTGATCAGCAGATATATTAGGGGAATATTTTTCAATGTTCCTTTCTAGAATTTCAAGGTGCACCTTTATGAGTGGAATGATGTCTGCATATTTAGCTTCAACAGTCTTTTGAAACATATCGGCATTGCCTTCACTCACCCTATCTTTCCAAAGCCTCATTTTTTCCAGCAAAGCCTTTATTTTGTCAGATGATGTCAAGATATTCTCATATTTCCCTTGCATACTAGAATTAACCTTGTTTAGATGTTCAAATATATCCGCCAGGTAGCGTAACTTCGCGCTCCAAATTCCATCAGCCAGTCGGTCACAAAATTCAGGTTTTCCCTCAAGAGTGAAGGAAACTAGTATTTCCTTTCTCATTTCATTACCCGAGCTTTATTTTAAATAATCATTCCCTAATCGGTTGTCATGTCCACACTTCTAATGAAAATTAAAGGCTTTTATATTGAGTTGCCTTAGCTTAAATTGATGAGAATATCCATATTTAACCATTTTGAGAAAAGGTGATATTAGAAACAACGAAGGGATTTAAATCACTGAATAATCAGGTGGTAATAATCAGTAGTGTCGTAAACTTAATGCTGCTAGACGGGC